TTGATACTGATTTCGAAAATTAACTTTCCACTCATCTTTAGATTTTAGAAGTATTCTCAGAGCATTGAATAAGGTTATGCTAGCTAGGTAATGTTCAACGGCGTTTGGTAGTAGACCCAGTGAATCGAAAACATTTGCTAATGAACAGTGGGCCGATGCCTCCAAGGATTTGTCTTCAACCTCTATCGCAGTTTTAAGCGTTAGGTTATATGACTTCTTGGCCTGTGAAAAGTCGCCGAGACGAGAGTAAGCATTACCGAGGTTACCATAGGCACTACCCTCTACACCCTTGTCTCCTACTTCTTTAGCTATTTCAAGATGTTGTTTGTAGTACTCTAATGCTTTTTTGAAGTTACCCAGACTCTGATAGGCATTACCAAGACTTCCATAACTTTTACCCTCCCCAGCCTTGTTTCCTATTTCTTTAGCTATTTCAAGATCTAGTTTGTAGTACTCTAATGCTTTTTTGAAATCACCCAGGGATTGATAAGCATTGCCAAGATTGCCATAAGCTTTACCCTCCCCATCCTTGTCTCCTATTTCTTTAGCTATTTCAAGGTGTAGTCTGTGGTACTCTAATGCTTTTTTGAAATTACCCAGACTCTGATAGCCATTACCAAGATTGCCATAAGCATTACCCTCCCCACGCTTGTCTCCTATTTCTTTAGCTATTTCAAGACATAGTTTGTGGTACTCTAATGCTTTTTTTAAATCACCCAGGGATTGATAAGTAATGCCAAGACCGCCATTTGCACTGCCCTCCCCACGCTTGTCTCCTATTTCTTTAGCTATTTCAAGATGTACTTTGTGGTATTCTAATGCTTTTTTTAAATCACCCAGGGATCGATAAGCAATGCCTAAACTTCCATTTGCTTCACCCTCCCCACCCTTGTCCCCTATTTCTTTAGCTATTTCAAGATGTAGTTTGTGGTACTCTAATGATTTTTCGAAATCACCAAGGGATTGATAAGCATTGCCAAGATTGCCATTTGCAATGCCTTCCCAACGCTTGTCTCCTATTTCTTTAGCTATTTCAAGATCTAGTTTGTGGTATTCTAATGCTTTTTTGAAATCACCCAAGGATTGATGAGCATTGCCAAGATTGCCATTTGCAATGCCCTCCCCACGCTTGTCTCCTATTTCTTTAGCTATTTCAAGATGTAGTTTGTGGTATTCTAATGCTTTTTTGAAATCACCCAGGGATTGATAAGCATTGCCAAGACTAGTAATATTTTAAAAACCAATAAGGACTTTATGAAACATCTTTACTTTATACTAAGGTAACTGTAAAGAAATATAAAAAAAAATTTGACCAGAAAATTTTCAAAAATTGAAAATCTTATTCTGAAGCTCTAAACCCTCTCAGATTTACATTTATTCATGAGCCTTTTCTACACAGTACTTCCCTTTCAGGACTACATGGTTTACATGTACTTGAATCGCTTCCCTTACTTATGTGTGTAAATATTTTTCCTACTGAAAAAACAATTACCATGTCACGAGCATTAGAATTTACAAATAATGAAACCTCACGTACAGTGAACTCTGCTTAGCTGTTTTATTGTTTAGATTACAAGGAAAATTTCAACCTTTCTGTTCTGGGTCTTTAAAATGGACAGATAAGTGTACAAATGTACATTATGTACAAATATACATTAAGTGTACAAATGTAAATTGACCAAACTTATTTGATATCAGTAGATCTTATTCCTCTAACATGTGGTTAGTGAATAGGCCCTATGTATGCTTGTGTACGGTGGAATACCCAGTTTAACCTCCAGGCCTCATTTTCAAGATGCGGAGTCATAAATGTAATTTAGAAAGTGTTCCCAAGACACTGAAATGAAGAGAAAACTCACACAAAAAAAAAACCAAGAAAAATGCTAAGATTCATGGTAAAATTAGTGCAAATGAGGCCTGTTCTTCTAAGTATATGAAGTCATCTTACCTAAGATCTATTCAGTAACATCATGTTAGATATTTACCTCTTCGAATCATGCTTAGAATGGTAATCTTGGCACTAATAAAATTAGATTGGATCAAAATGGAATGAAAAACCTCTAAAAAGGAAATGATTTTTTCAAGGTAATTTCAATTCGTAGAATAAGTATGTTTCGACATTCTCATGTCATCTTCAGTTGCAAATGAGCTTTTAACAGTTGTACATTTGAATTTATATTAAGGTAGGTTACAAATTACGTGTCAGGGCTTACGTTACAGTTTGAATATTAAATACGCGAAAAATGTAAATAGCGCGCGCTTGACTAGACCAAAAAAAAAAGAAAAAAATAATAATAAAATAAAAGACCAAGGAACAACATAATTAAAGGGAAAGAGACGATTCTATATGCTTCAATTGCTGATTAAGAATGGGTTGCTAGGTCTACGTTCGCGTGTCGTTTATAAATTTTCGTGTGCTGGCTGTAATGCCAGTTATATTGGTGAGACCATTAGCCACATTTGTAGAGGAGTTCGTGAGCACCGCTTGTCGGAAAAAACTTCGCACATTTACAGGCACCTGCAATCATCAAGGGCCTGTCTTGACTCTTGTGATACAGAATGTTTCACGATCTTAGATTCTGCCGGTTCAAAATACCAAATTAAGATCAGAGGCATTGCTTATTAAGTGGGAAAAACCCATTCTTAATCAGCAATTGAAGCATCTAGAATGGTCTCTTTCCTTTTAATTATGTTGTTCCTTGGTCTTTTATTTTATTATTATTATTATTTTTTTT